TCAACCTCCAGAGACGCTGAAACCCTGGAACAACGAGAATCTCGCCTACAACAAAATCGTGTGAGAGCTTCAACCTCCAGAGATTCTGAAAATCCCGAACAACGCAACGAACGGCTTCGCACTAATCTATCACGACCAAATCGGTTCATTGCTCGCAGTGCCACAACAAGATGCGAAATTTCTGCAAATTTATTTCACTGGAAATGATGCACTGGAAGTAGACAAGCGTTACGCAATTAGTTCTGGGATCCGACGCGAGATCATTTCAAGCTTGCAGGCAATGTTCCATGAACAAAACAATTTGATTCGCCTTTTTGAAACAGCTCTGGATCAAATGCCATAAGATGGCTATAGTGTTGTTATTAGAGCAGACAAAGCTCCTGCTGGTGAACATGAAAGGCGCTTCAATGCTCCAGTAACAGGGGATGTTGCAATTGTAATAGTTGGCACCGAATTCGATCGATCGTATGATGCACTCCAATATCCAGTGCTGTTTCCCCATGGAGAAGAAGGATATCATTTCAACATCAGGCAAGTCGACCCCAGCACAAGTGAAGCGACGACAAAGAAAGTGTCCTGCATGGATTATTATGCAAACCGCATTATGATTCGTGGAAATGAATCCAATCATATCTTAAAATGTCGTGAATTATTCCAACAGTTTATTGTGGACATGTACGCGAAAGTCGAAAGTGAACGTCTTCTTTTCATTCGCTTAAATCAAAAGAAGCTGCGCGTTGAAGAATACGTTCATTTACGTGATGCAGTTGCTAATGATGGAAACATTGCTGACATTGGACAAATGGTAATTTTACCTGTAACATACACAGGAAGCCCGCGGCACATGCACGAATACGGGCAAGATGCTATGACGTACGTTCGAAAGTATGGACGACCGGACCTATTCATCACCTTCACTTGCAATCCATCGTGGAGTGAAATAACCGAATTGCTTTTTGCAGGCCAGAGCTCATCGCACAGACATGATCTTCTCACTCGAATATTCAAGCAAAAGCTAATAAGTCTTATGAATGTCATCACGAAGAATTTTGTTTTTGGAGAAACCAGATGCTGGATGTACTCAATTGAATGGTAAAAGAGAGGCTTACCACACGCTCACATTTTGATTTGGTTGAAGCAAAAAATTATACCTACACAAATTGATAGCGTTATATCAGCCGAGCTTCCAAATCAAGCCGAAGATCCCATTCTTTTTGAAATAATCAAGAAAAATATGATTCATGGGCCATGCGGTACTTTTAATCCTAATTCACCATGTATGCAAAACGGCAAATGCACAAAGCGATATCCACGTGAGTTGATTACTGAAACTCAAACTGGAGGTGATGGATATCCTCTGTATAGGCGAAGAAATCCCACTAATGGTGGATACACAACTACTATTAAGATGCGAAGTGTAGATATCGGCATAGACAATAGATGGATCGTGCCATACTCGCCACTACTTTCAAAAATGTTTAATGCTCACATCAATGTTGAGTATTGTAATTCGGTAAAGTCCATAAAATATGTTTGTAAATATGTTAACAAGGGCAGTGACATGGCAGTATTCGGATTAGCAAATCGAGGTGATTAGATCACGCAATATCAAACAGGGCGCTACATCAGCAGTAACGAAGTAGTATGGCGGATATTTGCATTCAATATTCACGAACGATATCCAACGGTTCAACATCTCGCTGTTCATTTGGAAAATGGTCAGCGGGTTTACTTCACCGAAGAAAATGCGCAAAATAGAGCAGAGGAACCACAAAACACAACACTGACTGCTTTTTGCGAATTGTGTACATCCGAAAATTTTGCTAAAACGTTGCTGTATCAAGATGTGCCCAAATATTATACTTGGAACACATCGACAAAAAAGTTCAACAGAACAAAAAGAGGTGCAATTGTTCCAGAGCATCCTGGTATATATTCGTCCGATGCATTGGGACGTGTGTATACTGTTCATCCAAATAACGCCGAGTGCTATTATTTGCGGTTGTTGCTGCATACAATCAAAGGGCCGACATCATCGACGGAGTAGAATGCCAAACGTACAGAGAAGCGTGCTTTAAACTGGGATTACTTGAGAATGATCAGAATTGGAACACAACTCTGACCGAAGCATCACTCACGTGCCATCCAAAGCAAATACGAACTTTGTTTGCGATAATTTTAACAACATGCGCACCATCGAATCCTCGACAACTGTGGGAAATGCATCGTGAAAGCCTCAGTGAAGATATTCTAAGACAAGCACGTGCAAGCGATCCAAGTCAGGAATATTCGGATGACATTTTCAATGAAGCTTTAATATTAATGGAGGACTTATGCATGTCAATCAACAACAAAGCTCTTTGTCAACTCGGTATGCCAGCACCGACACGAGATAGAAATGCTGTACAAGACAGAGACTTGATGCGAGAACAGCAGTTTGATGCAAATCAGCTTGAACGATTTGTGCAAACGCAAAAAGAGTTTTTAGTTGCTGATCAGAAAAAAGCTTATGACAAAATCATGCAACGTGTAACCAAAGGAGATGGCGGAATTATCTTCCTAGATGCTCCAGGAGGTACCGGGAAAACTTTCCTCATCAATTTAAAATTGGCGTCAGTTCGAATGCGAAATGGGATTGCAGTAGCAGTAGCATCATCGGGGATTGCATCAACACTACTTGATGGAGGACGTACAGCGCATTCAGCACTTAAGCTTCCATTGAATTTGCACCAGACCGACACATCTACATGCAACATCAGCAAAAACTCTGGTATGGCCATAGTCCTTAAAACGTGCAAAATTATAATTTGGGACGAATGCACCATGGCACATAAGAAATCGCTCGAAGCACTTGACCGAACTCTGCGAGATTTTCGTGGAAAAGACCAACCGATGGGAGGCGCTCTTATACTTCTTGCAGGTGCAGACGAGCTGAACGCGTGCTTAAAGGCATCGCATCTGTGGAACTATGTCGAAAAAATTACGCTCACAACAAATATGCGAGTGCATTTGCTGCAAGATACGTCTGCCCAAATATTTTCAAAGCAACTTTTAGATATCGGAAACGGTAAAGTTCATATTGATCGCACAACAAATGAGATATCATTTCCGTCCAACTTTTGTCAAATGCAGCAGAGCATTCAAGACGTCATCGACAGAGTATTTCCGAACTTAACGATCAACTACCGAAATCCGGAATGGCTCCGCGAACGTGCAATTTTAGCTCCGAAGAAAGATGATGTTAGTAAATTAAACGGTCAAATTCAATTGAAAATTCCAGGAGAAGCAGTCGAATATAAATCGATTGATACAATAATGGACAAAGATCAAGCTGTTAATTACCCAACTGAATTTCTTAATTCTTTGGAGCCACCTGAAATGCCTCCTCATTCGTTGGCGTTAAAAGTTGGATCACCAGTGATGCTTATTCGGAACTTGAACGCGCCGAAACTGTGCAACGGAACCAGAGTGATAATAAAAAAATTAACACCGAATTTGATCGAGGCAACAATCATCAGCGGTAAATTCAAAGGCGAAGATGTGCTGATTCCACGTATACCGATGATTTCCAACGATTTACCGTTCGAATTCAAGCGGCTTCAATTCCCTTTGCGCCCTCCCCCCCTAACTTTCAAATTTTCCTTATATATAAATAAAATAGTACCCTGGAATGCCAGCTTAATAGGGTCGAGCCCCCCTAAATTTCATTCTGGCTACGCCGATCTACACCTTGCTTTGCGTCAACGGGGCGGAATTCTAAAACCAGTTTTTTTGTTGTTACATATATGCTATTGCAAAATTCACTTAGAATTATTTTTAGTAAGCGTGTTAATTTTCCTTGCGTTATGTTAATAGACAGAAGCAGACTAATTAGTGATAATGTGATGAAAGTAAAGTTACATGCGATATTTTTTTCCGAATTAACGGCGAACTGTACATATCGACCCTAATTACTGGTTAAGCAGAATTTTATTTAGATAATTTAACAAAAAGGGATAGTTCATAATTAATTGAAATGATTGGAGTTAAATTTTATTTCCAAATTTGAATTTCGAACGCTCCTATTCATAGTATAGCCCTGTAAGACTTAGAGTATAAGATTTTTTTTTTGGTAGAATAAATATGTAAGTTCATCTGTACATCAGAATGTGCTAATTGCTTTTCTTATTTGTTGGTAATGCGGGTCGTTTAAAGTTGCACTGTGGATTTGGGGAAAAATGAAGTGCTACCCGAATCATTGGAAGGGAGGGCGAAGACAAGCACCCGCAATCTAATTCCATCTATAAGTACTCTTGACTTTCCCTTGATTTTGACGTATAAGTAAGATCCGTGGCAGCTTGTTTTATGTGAACACAGTGTTTAATTTCAGTTCGAATTAGTAGGGTAATCCGGGACTCTGAAATCATAGTTTTGTAATGGGTACTGGAAGAAGCTATGTCAAGAACTCCCCCAGCCGGCTGCTAGCTAGTTTATTGAAGGGTCCCGCCCCGACATAGTCCTTCCCAGAACGCGAAGACACACCTTTTTTTTGGCTACCCAAAATAGCTCATTACACATCACAAACGAAATTTCGGTCGGGGAACATAATAGTAGCCTTAGTTTCTCGCAAAAAGTTGATCTGCTTTTCCAAATGTCGCAAAGTGGTTCTTTGGGAGGTGCGGGAAGTGATGACCCTATAGAGAGCAATCCACCCAGCGACTCGGCAGCTGCTGGTTCAAAAGCTCAGAGGAGTGAGCCTGCCAAGGCGATCGTGAGCCACCGAGGTTGAAGAAAGTCGACCTCGAGAAGTGACATATTAAATTCGACGGCACTACCAAAGGAATGAGCGTAGAAAGTTTTGTTTTTCGGGTTGAAAAGTTGAGGGAACAAAATAACATCTCTTTCTTCCAGCTTTTCACGGACTTTCACTGTCTGGTTTCCGGCGGCGCCTTGAATGGCAGGTACTCGAAGACCAAGCGGATAATCCTGAATTTGGATATTTCGAGATGAAAGCCGAGCTGCTAAACCATTTTACGACTGCTGAGTCCGACTATGAAAGCATCCGTGAAATAATGGAACGAAATCAACAGCCCAGTGAAAGTTTTGATGACTTCTATAGCGAAATCCATAACATGACTTTTAGGCTCCGAAAAAATATCCCTGAGAGGGAGATGGTAGGAATAATAAGGGGTAACCTAAAGGCATACTTAGCCAATTTGACGTTCGCGTCCAAAAGGGAAACTCTGGCGGAGCTGAAGTCAGAGTGTAAAAGAGCTGAGAAGGTGATAAAGGAGAACAAGAGTAGAGCTAGAGCCGTAAACGAGTTAGAAATAGAGCCAGTAGAGAACTCAGACAATAAAATGTTAGAAGCGTTTGATAGGAACAAACTTGATAGGAAACCACAACACTCCATCCCAGTGAAGAACTGTGATTCTACGTCCACGTCCGCATCTGTTTGTCCTACGGTGTCCAAGTCCACCATTAAATCCCTTTGTCCTTCACCCTTCCACTTAATGTTGTGTTTCTCATGCGGCATGCCGGTGGACCACTATACGAAAAACCCGGCTGAGGTCCAAAGAGAAACCAAGTGTAAGTCGTCATTTCATAATATGTTGTGTTTTGCTTGTGGTGGTGATTCGTCCTTTTGTGTTTATAAAAGTAAAGGAAACTCCAGTCTGGCGGAGATAACCGGGGGCTTCAGCCAGGAAATGGGCAACCCGGAGGAAAAGAAATGAGGGTACTAAAAAGAGAAAAGGAAACTGAAGTTAAGGAAAATAATGAAGTTGAGAAGAAACAGGAAATAAAAAGTTTACATCAGCGAAAGGTGGAATATGAGGAGGCGCGTAGGCGAATATTTTTGGAAGAAATAGTAGGTAAGAAGAAAAAACATAGGAACTTTAAGAAAATAGCTAAAATGAGCGAAAAGCAGAAGAATTTGAAAAGAATTTATAATAAAATAGTTTCCACTATAGTGATCCTTAAAGTAGACAATAGGTTCTTTGCCAAGACCACGATTGTGGGGTACGAAGTGTTAGCCCTACTGGATTCCGGTGCTGGTGATAGCTGTTTAGGAAAGAACGCAAGTGTGCTATTGAAAGGTAAAGAAAATATGATTCTGCCAATCAGGGGCCAGAATATTAAGATAGCTAACGGAGGAGAGACTGCCGTAGTTGGAGCCATCAAGTTACCAGTGTTGTGAGACAACCAAACAAGGGAATTAGAGTTTTTAATAGTACCTGGTCTTCAACAAGAGGTGTATTTAGGTATTGACTTCTGGTTAGCTTTTGGAATGAGTATTGTGAGCAAGGGAATGAATGGGGGTGTGAATGATTCTAGCGTTTCCGAACTCATTCACGCCGATGGTGCTTATCCTTCGATGCCGTGCAACATGTTCTGACATCAGAACAGACGAGCGCCTTGGAATGGGTGAAATCTCAGTTTCCCTCATTTGCAGCGTTAGGGTTAGGCCAGACAAAGCTAGAAGAGCACGTTATTGAGGTAACTAACGAGAATCTGCCAGTTAAGCAGCGTCACTACCCGATTTCGCCGGCCATACAAAAACTAGTGTACGCTGAACTCAACAGAATGCTGAGCATGGGAGTCATCGAAGAGCCCAATAGTAGCAGGAGCTCACCGGTCTCATTGGTGATTAAAGGAATGAAAAATCGCCTCTGTTTAGATGCCCGTAAGGTAAATGAAAGGACAATAAAGGACGCATATCCACTCCCACACATAGACGGAATTCTCAGTAGACTCCAGAATACCAGGATCATATCCTCGATTGATCTAAAGGACGCGTTTTGGCAGATTCCGTTAGAACGCAAGTCGAGGGAAAATACTGCTTTTACTGTACCTGGTAGACCACTGTACCAGTTCACAGTCATGCCTTTTGGACTGTGCAACGCGGCACAAAGAATGTGTCGTTTAATGGACAAGGTCATACCCGCTTCGTTACGTGAATGTGTATTTGTTTATCTAGACGATTTGTTAGTGTGTTCAGAAGATTTCTCGTCCCATATATGTTTGCTAGAAAAAGTCGCTCGATGTTTGCGTGATGCAAAATCGACAATAAACGTAAAAAAAGCAAGTTCTGTTACAAAGAGGTGCGATATCTCGGCTACGTAGTCGGTGATGGGTGTATCAGAACGCATTCCAACAAGGTTGCGGCTGTGAGAGACTTTCCCGAACCTAAGATCCCAAAACAGCTGGACATGTCGGGTTGGTACCGTCGATTTATCCAGGATTATGCGATCATCGCAGCTCCACTGCACGACTGCCTCTCAAAAGACAAAATCAAAAAGTTTACGATGACTGACGAGGCCAAAGCTTCCTTTGAGAAGCTCAAACAAAGTTTGATTATGGCGCCCGTACTGACTCATCCGGACTTCAACAGACGCGTCTATATCCAATGTGACACATCGACAGACGGAGTGGGAGGGGTTTTGTTTCAATTAGACGACGACCAAAACGAACGACCAATTGCGTATGTTTCAGCTAAGCTAAACAAAGCCCAAAAGAATTACAGCATTACTGAGCTCGAATGCTACGCTGCGATCGTAAGAGTTAAGAGGTTCAGGCCATACGTCGAAGGTCTTCCATTTACCATCATCATGGACCATGAAAGCCTAAAGTGGCTTATGCACCAAAAGGATTTATCTGGCAGATTGGCGAGATGGAGCTGAAACTTCAATTTCGAGATTGAGCCCAGAAAGGGAGCTCAAAACGTAGTGCCTGATACGCTATCAAGGATGAATATGGACGAACTAAAATTAGGCGATCAAGTGTTGGACGTATGCTTAGAATCTCCGTGTTTTGCGTCGGAAGAATACGAAGAGCTGAAAAGGACCGTGACGGAAAACAAAGACAGACTTCCTGACCTCTGTGTATCGGACGGCTACGTGTACCGGCGAACAAGGTTTGACAGGGGGGACGAGCTTCTAGCGGACCAAGTCTGAAAGCTTTGGGTTCCGTCTGAGTTGCGACCGGGGCTGGTTGAGCCTTCTCACGGCTCACCTTCGGCTGGTCATGGTGGTATTCACAAAACCTTGGCACGACTGTGCGAGAAATACTACTGGCCAGGGATGGTAGCCGATGTATGCGGCCACATAAAAGATTGTGAAGTTTGTAAGACGAACAAAACACTAAATGTTTTTAAGAGACCGTTAATGGGCAAACAGCATATAACAGAACGACCTTTTTAGCGTTTGTTTATAGATTTTATGGGTCCGTTTCCTCGTACTTGTGACGGTAATGTGTATGTCTTTGAATGTCTAGATCATCTGTCGAAATTCGTGTTCTTAAAACCAATGCGTAAGGCAACTTCAGCTGTAGTTATAAAGTATTTTGAAAGGGATATTTTCCACGTATTCGGTGTACCCGAATACATACACTCCGATAATGGAAAACAATTTGCTTCTGACATGTTTGGCAGTTTTCTGGAGAAATACGGCACAAAGCGTATTAAAACAGCGTTCTACTCACCTCAAGGAAACGCTGCCGAGAGGGTCAACCAATCTGTGCTACAGATAATCAGGTCTTTTATCAAAGAAAACCAGAGAAACTGGGACAAGCATGTCAGCGACGCGGCCCTCGCACTTCGCAGTGTTGCGCACTAAGCAATCAATACATCGCCGTATCACGCCACTTTCGGTATGCCTAGGATACAGCATGCTGCATCATACGAGCTATACCGAAAGTTGGGCGCCCTGAGAGACAATGATTGCGAGGTTGCGGCAACGAGCGATAGGCTGAAAGTGATAAGAGACAAAGTTATGAAAGAGCTGAAGTTAGCCCATGAAAGGAGTAAGAAGGTTTATAACACTAGGGGCTGGTTTCTCCATCTCAACTTAACTTAGTTAAGCCAATTTTCTTGACTTAGTCATGAATAAGCTGTGTAAAACGTAGGCTAACTTTTGACTTAAGTCCAAAAAGTGGCTAAACTAAGTTAAGTTGAGTTGGAGAAACCAGCCCTAGGAGTTGGGATATAAAATTCCAAATCGGACAAGTGGTATATTGCCTAAATTTTAAACAAAGCTCGCAAATTGATAATTATAACGCCAAATTAGCTCCAAAATATATGAAATGTATCGTTCTAAATGTTATCGGAAATTCAATGTATGAGCTTGGTGATAGTAAGGGGAAAAGGTTCGGCATATACCACGCTAAAGATATGTTTGCAAAATAGGGGTAAGGTTATATGTAGCCCTGTGTGGCATGTTGCTTGTTGAATGTTATGTGCGTGTGCTAAATGTTCTTTGTTACAGATATGGTTGACTTTTATTTATATTTGACTTTATTTAAACCTGACTATATTATTTATTTTATTTTGTTCTTTTTTTATTACCATTCTTGACTATTTTTGTGATTATTTTTATTATTTATACACTTTTATTTATTGACTTATCTTAAGATTTATTTATTTATAAATTTAGTTATTTATACACCATATGCTTACTGTGATATTTTATTTTTATTATTATCTTTTTTTATTCTACCTGTGATATTACTTTAGTTATACTTGTTTACATCTGTGATATTTATTTAACTACTTATTTCTGTCATCTGTGATATAGAATAGGATTGAGTAAATATAAGTAGACCTGTGTTATCGTTTTTTAAATGTATACTTACGCTCAGTGATTAGTGACAATGCTGCCCGGCTATGAGTCGTGGGTCGAGGCCACACGTTGGACGCAATAAAAACAACAAGACAGGCTGCGCTGTTAACTCTTTTACGCACACGCTCCATGTTGCAGGCACCATCGGCGGCTGCGTGCGTATCAGGCACTTGAACGAAAGTGTGGGTGTAAGCATGTGTGGGTGCAGACATAGTAGCCATAATGCCACAGAAGTGCCGGCAACACATGTTGCGGAAAAGTTTGCAACATGTAGCGCCATCAACGTGTGTGGCGGGCAAGTTTGGGACATGTAGCACTAGCAAGAAATGCATCGGTGAAGCGGTGTGAGTGTGTGAGTGTGAATGCGGTATCTGGTTGGGGGACCGTTGAACCGAATTGCGGTTCGCCTGAGTGAAATTTGTTGACTTAGACACCCGTATAAAAGGCCCTAAAGATGGCCAACGGATTCATTATAGTGGTGACATGTTATTTGAAGGTGCTAGTGAAAGTGCAAAGTTCCCTTAAGATAGTGTGAAAAATATAAAAAAAAAAATAATAAAAATAAAACTGTCCATAACCCGCACAGCTAGCGGTCCCGCACATATATCGCCAACCGTCCGGTGAAGAAAATTTTTTGATGTCGTCGAATTTGGCTAATTGGAATAGGAGGTAAGCTCTAAAGATTCCTATTAAAGGTGTAGAAATCAAGTGTTTTGCGTTACTAGTGCCGCCATAACAAATAATTTGGCATAAATAAATTCTTATGTACGTGCACGCACAGAAGATTTATGGAAATATATGTGCGTGATATGCAAGTTTACATAAGCGTAGCATAGCGAAAATGCGAGCATAACGATTAAAATGTGTGTGTTTTGTTTTTTTCAGGTCGCCCGCGGAGCAATTGCAAAAGGACCTTTAAAGGCAATGCCTGGATGAGTTTTTGTGACCCCCACGGAGGAAGGAACGTCGCCGCTATAAAGTTGACAGCAATATATATTTACACATGAGCATCTGTGTCACCCATACCCAACCATCAAATTTTGGGACAAGAAGCACCGCTCATACACCACTACTACTGGACGGAAAGTCGCAGATACTTTGGTGAGGGATACCCACTTCCATAGGCCACCAGCAGCAAAATCGGATTTTGGTGTCTGAGCCAGGATCAACGTAAGACGCTGACCACCTGCTCTAGAGTGAGCCGAACCTACACAAGTGCACAGGAGAGGATTAAAGTCTACGTGGTAGCCAGAGCATCGACGACGTCAATATCCCCAACTCTACCAGCAGTGGATGAAGAAAAAAATCACTCTAGTTTTATTGAGTTTTTTTTTATTCAGTAGAAATGTTGCTCAGTTAGAGTTTTATTCAGTATTTTTTGTTTGTATTCATTCGAAGTTTTGCTAAGTTGAAGTTTTATTGAGTTTTTACATTAAGCATTTAGCCTTAGGTATTAAGAGAGTTTTCAAAGTACATATAAGTTTTTAAGTATATAGTTTTTTATAAATAGCAATATTACTAAGAGAAGAGTTAGTTTGTAGTTGTATTACTTACCTAGTTTCTTCCGTCCATTTTCCTTTATTCCTTTTTTTGACTTTTTTTGTATGAGATTTCAGTTTTTACACAGTTTATCACATTTCTCTTTTTATACCCGAGCGCACTTGTGCACAAGGGTATATTAATTTTGTTCACATAACGGTTGTTTGTAACAGCCAAAACGAATCGAGATAGATATAGACAAATGTATACATAAATGATCAGGATGAAAAAAGAAATCGATTAAGCCATGTCTGTCTGTCCGTCCGTCTGTCCGTCTGTCCGTCTGTCCGTGTACACGATAACTCGAGCGAAAATTGAGATATCTCAACGAAATTTGGTATGTAGGTTTCCCTTAATCCAAGGTAGGTTGGTATTGAAAATGGGCGAAATCGGACTTTAACCACGCCCACTTCCCATATAACGGTAATTTCCAGAAATACGAAAACTGCGATATTTTAGTAACTACTGAAGATAATTCACTCAAAATTGATATTTACAATAATTTTCAGACGAAAAATAAGAATATTATAAATTTTTGGAAAATGGGCGTAGCCACGCCCACTTATGGTTACATGTGTATATCTTGGTAACCGCTGCACCAATTTCTTCCAAACTTGGCACAGTTGTTGGCCTTCGCATAACATACCAAATGGCCGAAAATTTTTAAAATCGCTCAATAACCACGCCTACTTCCCATATAACGGTAATTTTCAGAAATACGAAAACTGCGATATTTTAGTAACTACTGGAGATTATTCACTCAAAATTGATATTTATAATAAGTTTTAGACGAAAAAATAAGAATATTATAAATTTTTGGAAAATGGGTGTAGCCACGCCCACTTATGGTTACATGTGTATATCTTGGTAACCGCTGCAGCAATTTCTTCCAAACTTGGCACAGTTGTTGGCCTTGGTACAGCATAAAAAACCGCCGAAACTTTTTAAAATCGGACAATAACCACGCCCACATCCCTTATAACGGTAATTTAGAGAAATACAAAATCTTTGATAAATCATTAAATATTGAAGCTAATTTATTCAAAATTGATGCTTGCAACAATTCTTTACCAAGAAATACGTTTATGGTAAAATTTTGGAAAATGGGCGTGGCACCGCCCACTTATGATCACATATAAGTACATACATCGGTAACCGTTCTACCAATTTGTACCAAACTCGGTATGGTTATTGTACTTGCCACGTGTAAGCAAAACGTTGAAAATTATTGAAATCGGACTAAAATAACGGCCGATTCTCATATAACGGTAAATTTAAGAAATGCTTGAAACTTCAATATTTCGAAATTGAAGGACGCTAATTTACTCAAAATTGATACACCTCGGCTTACCATCTAGCGGAAGGTTTCGGAAGGGTGAAAAAACATATATTTAAT